TTCCGACAGCAAGCCTTGAAACTAAATTATTTACAAACAGATGCATCTTTCTTTATTGTTTTTAAAATCAGATTTGGCCCACAAACGCTCATCTGTGCACGGAAAACGTCTCGCGCGACTCGGAGAAAACCTTTTTAGAAAATCGCATTTGACATCCACGCTAAAGCTACAATTACATGCTTGTTTTGTACTATTCCCAGAAGTGCTCCATCTCCCGGCCTTTGTTTTTGATCTGGATCCTGAAAACATGTGATAGTAATATTTCTCTCACTAAAACTATGTGATTTATTACATTTTTGTCGGACTAAAATATGTAAACTTCCCTCAAGCAGAAGGAATGCACCTCAGTATGGTATAAAACACTGTCCAATTACAATCAAGATACCTGTTTGTGTTTTTATCGCCTTTTATGTCTGTCTGTTTTAAATTGTACCAAGAGTCTGGAATAAAGTTTCATTGAAATTGGTATGTTATTAAATTTGCTTGTCTACAATATAAAGGAAAAATGTAAAGCCAAACTACAGAACATTCAGAAATCCACATAAAAAGTTGCATACTTGCATAACCTTTACTTTCACTGAAAATGTAATAATAAAGCAGGGCAATAAAACGTTAGCAAATTACCAGCAGAAATGTGTAAGGCTACTGATGATTATAAGCCTTACAAAAACCAATTGTTTTAAATAATCTATATGATGAAAAAGTACAAGACTGTACAAGATGGGGTTAAATATGAAGAAAATCCATTATGAAAATAGCTTTGTTAATGTATTTTTGAATGGAATTTGGTTCAAATGAAAATATAATGAGCTTCCTCCATTAGAAATGCCACAATGTACAAAGACAAAATTGAATATAATTGAGATTGTGGAAAACCCAGTTCTTTTTAGTCGCATCATTTTCCCTTCTATTTTTAAGCCTGTTTTTATATTGATTATTACACAAGCACCAGACCAAACAAATGTGTAGTCTATAATATGCTTGATTTTATGTCTTAACCACAGCTATTGATGTAAACAGTGTGAGAGTCTTCTGGGAAACGTCTCTAATCTGATAGATCTACAACAAAGACAGAGCACATCCTCTCGAGTCCGTTCGAGCCTTTTGTCCTGGTGAAATGTGATGTTTTGAAGAGATTTGACAAGAGAAATAAAGTTGTTCTGAACTTGCAATAACTTGAAGAGAAGAAAAACCATCGCAAAGCCGCACAGGCAGAGATAGCAGCCGCTGTGGTCTGTTTATAGACAGCCACATCATCGCACTGGCATGAAGAACATTGCAGAACGATGTAGGCTGTAGGCTTGTCCAAAGTATCGGAAAACAGATATGAAACAGTACTATAATCAGTATTGAAACTAGATACTAGAATTGTGTTTGTTTTTTGTCTGTTTTTGAGTGTCTTTATGTGTCTGAATTAATGATTAAAAAACAAATGAATAAGAAATATACTAGTTTGAGCAAGTACAGATACTAAAGAAGATCACAAAAACAGGAAAAAATTTGATATATTTTCAGAATAAGTCCAAAAAGAGCAGAAACAATCACTGTCAAATTGGTTGCTAGTAGTTTTTATGGTATCAAAATTTAGCATCGAGACAACACTAGTCGACTGAAAGTACCAAAAAAGTGTGTGAATGCAGTTTTATATTGCACTAGTAACAGAATTGGACCGCAAATGGCCCGCTGGCCGCAGTTTGGACACGCCTGGTGTAGAGATAATAGATAGTTCCACATGAGTTCATGGCAAATATGGTCTAATTATCTTATCATCTCAATATTCAAAAACATACAGATGATGTTGGCCAGAACACGGGGAGGGAACATTTCAGATTTTTGCAGCTAAAATCTGGAACTGGAGTCTTCCTGAAAATATGAGACAGGCTCCTTCTCTGACAATGTTTAAATCCAGGTTAAAAACAGTTCAGTTTCGATCTGCTTACAACTGAAGGATTGTATCTTCATTTCTTTTTTAAGTCTTCTAAAGGAATCGAAAAAAGGATATCTTAATCTTGTTGTGTTATTGTGCCTTGTGTATGAACTGTGCTATACATATAAACTTGCCTTGCCTTGCCAGAAGAAAGGGTTAGGGTTAGACATAAGAATTAGATCTTATCACTATCAAAAATTGGATGTGGTAAAATTAATTTGTATATTTTCTTTTCCAACATTTAAAAAAACGTTCCCATAGAGCCGTGTTGGAACCCGCCTCCAGCTGAAATACATTTAAAGTATTCTAGAGCATGAACGCAACCTATTGATCACACAGTATCCTGCATTATACATAAGACAAACTGTAACCCTAAAGCAACGTATGCATATCATGTTGTTACCGTGACGATTTCAGACCTGCTTCTTTGACCCATTCGAATAAACTAAGAATCATCGCGTCCCATGACTCAATTGACCATATCAGCAATTATATACGTATTAGGAGGAAAAACAGGCCGAGCTTTGCAGGAAACAGCGTAATCAGATCATCACTTTGACCAAATGGTACACTTCTGCTTAGTCACACATCAATCTTCCGTGATGTAAACAAGTCGGACGAAAAAACAATCGTAACAGAATTGCTTTTTCTGTAATAATTCGTTTTCCAGTGTGTTTTAAGTGTTTTCCAACTCACTTCACAAAAAATAAGGCCAAGCAAAAAGAGTGATTTGTTTAAGCTCCGACAAGGGCTCCTCTGTTTTTGCTTTTTTACTAAATTTTGAATTTCATTTGAAGCGACTGCGGAGAGAATGTGCTAAACATTCTTACAAAAGGATCAGTGTTGGGTTGAAAAGAACAAAATGTCTAGTTGGAATTTGGAGCCAAAAAACTTGAAATTAAGTTACGGAAGATAAGTGTGTTTACCAGTGTGTGTTTGTGTGTCTCCCAGAGTTGCAATGCCACAGATAAAAACAGGAGATGTGGTTTTAAGATTCCAGGGCATGAAGCCTACAGCTACTAAGTGATAACAGTATTAGCAAAGTTGTGTTGATACAAAACGTTGCATTATTCATAGGCCTGTCACGATAACAAATTTTGCTGGACGATTAATTGTCTCAGAAATTATTGCGATAAGCGATTATATTGTCGTTCTGAGATCATTTGCATCGATTACAATGATAATGCAGGTACACCTTTTCAAAGAGAAATAAACTTTTATTTTTAACGAATATTTAACGCTAGAACACAATAAATTAACAAACAACCAAAAACAATAAATAAAATAGACTCTTAACAAAAAATGACCAGGAATAAAACTGCCAGGACCTTTGTAAAGAAAATATGAAACAGATGCCTCAAATGTCAATAATTTTTCAGACTTTATGGCAGATTACGAGAAAGAAATACCAACATGTTGACTTTGTGTGGCTTAAGACAGGATCTCTCAGGAGTAGTCCCGCCTCCCCACACACCACCAGGCGAATGACAAGTGACTGACATGTGGGTTCACCAATGGGGCGTACAGAAGTCCTGCTGCGGTAGCGCCCACCGGAAGTAGCGGGGCGGGCTTTGATGCTAACAGCTAAGCTAGCGGGTTTTTTGTGTAAAGTTCCAAGCATTGGCCTTCAGGCCTGAAGGTCGTGGGTTCAATTCCCACCTCTACACCTTCTCCACCGGCTCCCACTGATGACTGCTGTCGTTGTGTCCTTGGGCAAGACACTTAACCCCACTTTGCCCAAAGCCCCCACTGAAAGATCAAGGCTATGCTCACACTCAGAGAGCAGCCGTCCTCCTGTGGACTAACCACCTGCAGAGGGTCAGTGAGGGGCTGGTGCTATGAGACTTGGGTGGCATCTCTGACTGCCACCTCCCTGACCCAGAAATTGATTAAAGGGTAGAAAATGGATGGAATGGATGGATGGAGTTCTACTCCAAAAATGCAAGTCTGCAGCATCTCTGTGTTCAGAGACCTTCTAGAGACTTTATATAACAGCAGTATGTGTTCACGGAGGAGCGCCATAAGTTTATTTTATTGGTACGGTACGGTACTTCTGCATCGGCGAACACGCTAACGCTAGCTGCGCTAGTATAGTCATTAATCAAGCCTGAATGAGAACTCAGCTGCCGGCATATGTTCACAACTACTGTGTCCCCCATTGTCAATCCTGGTTAAGTCCTGGTTTAGGTCCTGTTTTGGCTGTATTTTGTATTTTTGAGTAATTTCCGTCTGCTTGCTAGACCGCTAGTGTTCCCGTGACCACTTTGCGGCTCTCTGACCCGAGAGAGACGGGGGAAACAAACAAGCATGCAAATGAGATTTATCGCGGCCAGAAAAGTTATTGAGCAAATTTTATTTATCGTGCGATTAATTGATTTATTGACTATCGCGACAGGCCTAATTATTCATCCACTAGGGATGCCAACACCGGGATCAAATAACTCTGCGATCTAGTCTAGACCTCAAAGAGATTTAACTTTTAGTATAATATGTTTTTCTAGTCTCATTTTGATAATAAGTTGCCTGTGATTTGAGGAACAGGACAGTTCATCAAAATCAAACTTAATATGCACCAAAAAACTGGATGTGGAACTGGCCCTAACCAATCTCTCAACTAACAACTTATGTGGGACTTCTGCAGTATATGCATGAGGAAATAGATAAGAGTTTAGAAGAAAGTATTTAAATGTAATATTGGCAAACTAATTGATTATTGAAAGAGTTGTCCAATAATTTAGTCTAGTTTATTGAAGATATTAGAGGTTTTATGACCCCAATCATTCTATAGAGACCTCAGAATTAAATGAAAATTCCCTAGCCTCCTATGTCTTCTTGTATTTCTTGTGAACTGTTTCTCTGATCTGTCGTTGAGGAATTGACAACATTGTAAAGTCCTCCGAGGCGACTGCTGTTGTCATTTAGTGCTGCACAAAAGTACACAGAATTGAACGTGTCTTTTCACTGGTCTACACAATTATATTTCACCACACATTCTTCTTCTTGAAAAACCATCATTAAACCAACACCCAAACAGAAAGTGAAACTAAAACCACCCGTGCGACAGTGATCTTACCTGATCGCGCTCATGTGGCAGGAGCGTCACCGTGGTCAGCAGTATTGTGGCCGTACTGCCGCCCCTGGAATGCCCTCTGCTGTGCTCCATGCCGCCCCCTTGTGGACTGAGCTTATATCGCGGGCCATTTTTCAACAGCCTCCCGTTGCCCACCGAACGCTTGGCCGCTAACCTCAACCTCTGCCCGAAAGCGGGGTTGACGGCGACTTTGGCCAAATCCCTCTGGTTTCTCAGATACCTCTCGATGTTTTTCAGAGAGGACCCGTGCGTATCATCCAAGCCTTCGATGGCGCGACGCAGTATTTTATTCCAATCAACGTGACGCAGATCTTGGGAATCCCACTTAAATTCCTTTGTCGGCACAGGGGCAGGCGGTGCGGGTGGGGGTTGCGCGGCAGCTGTGGCGGTGGCGACGACTCTTCCAGGATTGCCGGGGTCTTTGTAAGAAGTGCTCCCCTTGTTGGTGACTTTGAGAATAGACCCATCATGAACGCTTAATCCCAACTGCTCAAGGACCGTCTTCTTATCGAGTCCGTGCGACGTGCCGACCGCGTGGCATATCCTCTCCTCTGAAGGTCTCTGCTTCTGCCGTTTGATTTTCTGTATGGCCTCGAGAATCCACTCCGTGTAGAGCGGGTTTGCCAGTTTTACCATGGTTAGACAATAGCAAATGATAATAGTAATAAGTAATCCATGCAGCTAGAGAACAAGGGATATATCCACATCCTTCGGAACGGTCAAAAAGTTAGGTTCCCAAAGTGGCATCCACGCATTGAACTCACTCCAAGGTTTTGTTTTTATCTGTTGGCACTGGTAAAATCCACTACAGTCGCTTGTGGGCGGTGTTGAGAGACGGAGTCCAAGTTCAAATCTGAGGAGAGATGGAACAGAAGTTAGACAAGGCTTCTACATTTCTAATACTCCGCGTTTTTGTGCTTTTATTGGATCAATTTACTAATGTTATGAGAACAAAGGCGGGACACCAAAAACAAAGGGTTGAGTCAATAATCAAGCGTCAAAGACAATTAAAGATCTGAAAACTCCCAAAGAACAACTCTTCTTATGGCTTTGTTTGGTTCTATTTGTTCTCCACAAACTCATAGTATCCTTGCATCGGTCTACCACTTCACACGCGTAATAAATCTAATAAAAAATTCAATACTTGTTTACAAACTATTTTAGATATTCTGTCTTGAAGCCTGCTTTTGGCAGAGAGTGTTATCTTTCAGTTTGAGTCTAAACCTAATTCTAAAGGTTGCAATTTTGCCAGAAATGTTCAACAATATGGCATTAAAAATCTACATTAGAGATTAACAGGTGACTTCTCTTTAATATCTGCAGAAAGGTGTGCCCACACAATGTAAGAATCCAAATACAGTATTTAAAATATGTGTATTCAAATAATTTACATGTTCAGGTTGATTTCAAGGTTGATTCCATTCCATGGAAACAAGTTGAAGATTTATTTTTCAATCTTAAAGCTGAGGAACCTAACTTTCAGACCACAACAAATGTAACTATGTAATGCAACCCCCTTGCACCCCCTAGCTCTAAAACTGTTTGGTTCACTTGTTTTGCAATGCATGTGTTTTTGGCCTCTGTCACATCTTTAGATCAGCTATTTCAGACAGAAAAGTTCAAAAGAGAGGACCGCCCTCACTCAGCCAATCAACTCTCAGCCCAAAACAGGGCACTGACTTCTCAAGTAGGCAAAAGATAACATGTCTAGTAATAAGATGAAAATTGCAAATCGTGGTTGGATTTAGTCCCAAAAACTACATTTAAATTACTTTCTATTGGGACAAGCTAAACGTATTATATAAGCAGGAAAAAGTTAGGAACCCCAGCTTTAATATAAGGAAAATATTAGCTTTAGTGGAGTGGACACAATACATTACTGTGTGGGCTCATGCTTTTGCCAAGGTCATTCATTTAAGTATAATTGTGCACATTACTCATCATTCTTACTCAGTGTAACTTCTGCTTAGAACCGCACACGTTAAGACCGCTCTGTCTGAAACTTGGAAATAGTAAAATACAGAACTATGTGGACAAAGGGTTGAGTACAGTACACTTCCTGGTTTGCTGAGGTCATCTCTGGGCCATGATCTTTATGCAATAATAAACAGCGTTATCTCACATTATCAATGAGGAAATTCCACCAGTCGATGTGAGTACGAACACATACGAACACATGGAAAATGATGAAAACATGAATAAAAAAGGCCTATAAATACAGATCATGAGAATGTGGATTTGTTTAGTTTATCTAGATTAACCTTGATAAGATAAACAGTTGTTGTAAATATTGAGTTATTACAAAAACAGACTCTATAACAGGCTAGAATGTGGCTAGCATTGCTTTGACATTACAGTGGATTTAAAGTATGATAAAGGTACTGTGATAATGTATGATTTTAATGTTTCTTTTCTTGTTTTGTCAAGGAGTTTGAGTTGCCACGATAAGAGAAAAGTTGTAATTATCATTATACAAAGTTAATACAAAAACAGACTAGTGCTAGCCACTCTATAACAGGCTATAATTTGGCTAGCATTATTTCAAAACTACATCTGAAAGAATATATGACCAAAATGTGATTTGATTAGCCTTGATAAGTGAACTGCTAATGCAATTATTGAGTTAATACAAAACTGACTTGTACTAGCAGCTCTATAACAGGCTAGAATGTGGCTTGCATTATTTTTAGCCCATTTTACAGTCACATGAGAATATGTCTAAAGTATGAATGAATTAGCCTTGATAAGAGAAATGTTGTGATTATTGAGTTAATACAAAAACAGACAATTACTAGTATAGCTCAAAAACTGGCTAGAATTTGGCTAGCATCATTGAGACCCAAACATGAATAGATTCGCCTTGATGAGAGAAATGTTGTGATCATTGAGTTAATACACAAACAGACTATTCTAGAAGCTCTATAACAGGCGAGAATGTGGCTAGCATCAATGTGTCATGTTTTAAAGCCAAAATAATCGTGCATACCCTTACCCCCTGAACCTACTTTAGCTCCCAAGTTTACAACATACATAGCAATGCATTTCTCAGCAGTCTAGGAATGCCGCACGTTCCCATGGCCCACTTTCACGCATTTTTCCTCAACAGAAACACCAAATCTCGGCGTGGGAGGCGCAGTGGGGTGAAGCGACTTTTTAAGACGTGCTAAAACACATAAACCAGATGGACCCAAACAGATGCAGGAGCTGTCATGGCTGCTAAAGAAATTAAAACGACTTAATCCACGCAAGTCTCGCACCATTAAGCCACACACACACACACACACACACACACACAAAACACACACATACATGCACACACACACAAACCCCATTCCAGACGCCCTTTGAGAAAACTGATCACAGAGAGACGTGGAAAGTTCTGGACCGAAAGTGACAACAATGTACATGCTAAATTATGCATCCTATCTGGAACAGGCTGTGTAAAGTTGTTAAACATTGAAACCGCGGCGTGTCATTCTTAAATCAAACAAGCGGCAATGCTATAGAAGTCAAGCCTGCTACTTTTAACTTGTCTATACTTTTGACAGCTCTGGCTTTAGCACCGCGATGACATGGAAGCACAGGGACTATACTTGTCACTTCTCGGGGGAAAAAACTGTGACGTTGCTACTTCTTGACAGCGTGTCGCGAAAAGGCAAAAGAAATGTCCGCCGTATAAAGGTGTAATAACTGCGCAACTGACCGGGACTTGAGAGTGTCTTCCTCCTATCCTTCCACCCGATAAGTGACAATGTTGCCAGCGGGCAGCAGCGGCATTACTGATGTCACCTAAACAGTCGCCATTTTGTTACACTATGTAGCAGTTTACATGAATCCGACATGACGCTTATTACAATCCAATGGAGTGTCATTAGAGCTTACCTAGTCTAATGCGCCCGCCCTCGCAACGTCAATATTGGCCGCGCGCGCCCGGATCCGATTTCTGATTTGATAAAGCGCGTGTCAATCACCACGAGTGCCGTCGCCCCCCCAAGCGGCGCGCCATTGGCTGTGTAATCTGTCACTCACTCCGCTCAATTGACCCTCCTCTTAAGGTGGGACGGAGATGAATTGACACCGCTTAGCACATCCACTTCCAGCGTACCCAGCCCCAGCCAGCTTCCATAACGTTTTATCACCGTGTTAAAACGAGGGGAAAAACAAACGAGAATTAGCCTCGGAATTAATTACACGCGCTAATTTATGACCCCCCATTAACGGCTCGTTTAGCGCCGTGCCACCTTAATCCATATTCCTCCTTGAAACAGTTGGTTATACTTGAAAGTGATTTGGATCATTTTGGACTTTAATTGGCTGTTTGTTAAATCTATCATGTGTTTGCATAAATCCTGCAGCGACAAGTTAAAGTGAAAGCGTTGCGTGAATTCTGTGCTTTTTTTTTTGACAATATTTTTTTTTTTACATATCCACGCAGCGTTTTGAGGCAAGCTGACGAAAAAAATAACACCTTATTCTCCCACCTCGTCTATTCTTGTCTCATAAAACGCATTCAGTGTACGTAACGCGATTACACCATATTAGCAATGAAAAGTGGGGTGCCTGTTTTTTTTTATACCAGAGAGCATTATTAACGTCCTGTTCTGCACGTAACGCTGGCATGACCTCTTTATCACCGCTAACTATCAAATATCTGTGATGACGGCTGGAGGGGGGAAACAGCGAGCTCCTGGAGGCGAGGAAAATCAGGGGGGAATACAAGTTTGCTTCTCAAATCCTCCACAAAACGTAAAAAAACAATAAAAAGGCTTTCCTCTCCTCTCACATGCGACGGACTAACATCGCGTCTCGCATGTTGGAAGCGATGCATGCACAGAAAGCAAGAAAGCCAGCGTATTAAAAAAAAACCACATATGTATGTATAGTTTTACCTTCTTCAAGTTTGTCCACGGCGGATCTTCATAATAATGGTGGATTATGCCGTGGAGAGAAAAGAGAAAGAGCGACATCGCGAAGAGAGAATGATCGCATCCCAGGGAATATTCTCTTTCGCTTGTTGTATGTATCCAAAATAGTGATGATCCCGACGCGCATGCATGGAGACGCACACAGAGGAGCCGCTAACTACTAATTGAAAGGTTAATCTACATAGCAGCCTGTGACAAAGTGGTACCCTCCCCCTTTCCACTCGCTCACTATAGACATGTACTTGAACGTAGTCGCCCCTCCGCTGTCAAATTCACTTTTCCTCCCTCCTCCTCAGTCAACATGCCCACTAGTCAGTCGCTCGCTGCCTGCCTGCCTGCTTGCATGGTGGTGGTGGTGGTTGAGCTGTGTTATTTTTTTTCTTTCTCTTTTCCCTTTGCTTCTCCCTCTTGGCATTACTGTACAAGCGCAGCGGGACTTAGTTTGGGAGGGCTATCAGCTCCCATAGCTTCACACATATTTGGCCTGTTGTTTGTGGCGCAACACAAACACCATTGGTTTCAATCGGGGGCACTGTGCTTTGGCCACTGAGACAAATTAGTCTGCAGTGGGAAAAAAAAAAGAAACACAGCAATGAAATGTAGTCGTGCTGAAAAAAAAACAACATTGTGAGAGTATTGAGTGGTTCATTCAGACGTGTTTGAGTTATGCAATGAATAAGGATATCAGATTACAATACGTTTAGAAAATTA